TATTATATTATACGTATTCATTGGATTTGTTTTGGATATTTTTTTTCAATAAAATTTTTTAATATATATAATATGATGTTTATCGTATTTTTTGTATTGATATGACTTTAATTTTACGTTATAATTCTTTTTTTATGGAAAATTATAATTGTATATTTATTAAATATATATTAAAAATTTATATTTCTATAAAGGAAAGAGAAATAAATCTTTGAAATTTCTTAAAGTATAATTTTATTTATATAATAATTTTAAAATTTGTATATTATGATGTATTACGATATATTATACATAATACGATGTTGAATGCACGAAATGAGGAAAATATTACGTTTATGATTCTTCAAAATAATCTACAAATTTGTTCAAAAGTTTAATATTTTTTTGTGGAGAAACATATATATAAAATGTTACTGTCATAACATATATAATAAATAACTAAAATTTTAGCCTTCTTTTCCTATATAAAATAAAAAGTATCACTGTTTATTATTTATTTAATATTTATATAGTAATTTAATTATATAACATTGAAAAAAATTAAATCTTCAATCTTTATCAATTTTCGTTGATTTATAAAATTTACCATATTTGCATTAAATTTGAAGAGATAATAATGAAATTTGGAGTATTTTTCCATATAAAACTCTCATAAGCAATAATGAAATTAATAATAATAAATAAATGTTACATAAATATTCGTGTTTTTCAATTTTAGGATTTATATTGTTTAAAATTATCGAAGTTATGGATGAATTTAATTTTACCATAATGGCGGTAATTGATCGTAGTTACTATGATTCACGTTAGTTTTTCTTTATTTACGAATCTTACCTAATTTTTGATGTGTAGACATTCAAAGAATATTACTTCTTAATAGCAAACATGATTACCTATGGATTAGCCCGTGATGAATAACCAAATAAAAACACTGAAATTGAAACGAGAAATGAAAACAGGGAGAAAAACTAAAATGTGCTTCTTCACAGCATTGTTGACTTCGAAAGACTGAAACATTCGCCGCCGTACCGCTTTCATCATTATGTCATTTGTAACTTTATTGATGCTATAATAAATTTATTTTTCACATGTTTATTATTGTTAGAAATTTATTTAATAACTTCCATAACAAATTACTATTTTAAAACAAACAATAATTTTTTTGAATAATATATTAAATGAAATATTAAAGCATTAGTTTGACTTCAGTTGTAATGGCGATTATACGGATATTCGATGCTCAAATGTTATAAGAGAAATAACAAAAGATGTTTGAATGCAGAGACTAAAGAATTCATTTTTAATTTTTTATATACGAATATAGGTTTTAAGATATTTATTCGTTGTAACTTTAAATTTGCTATTTATTATTTAATGTAAGTCTTGAGTAACAAACGCGACAAATATTTGTATTAATATAATTATTTAATAATATTAAAATATAGATGCTTATTAAAATATAGAGGCTTATTAATATGTATATATATACAGTAAGATATTCATATATTTTAATTTTTTATGCATTGTTTACATTAATAAATGTCAATTTTGTAGAAACCATGTACTTCCTTTAATAATTTGAAATTGTATTTAAGTTATATTTAAGTTCTGAAAATTACAAAAATCATTGGTTATTATAAAATTATGAAATAATATAATAAATTATATTATAAATAATATCTAATAAATTATCACAAAAAATTAATTGTACAATATAATAAATATATATTTGTAAATAGATTTATTAAATAAACAGTAACTGAGGTAATTAATTCTATAATTATTATATTAAGATTTATCACTAACTCACATATTTTTTGTGCATAGCAAGACAAAAAGTGCAAACTTGCGGCCTCTTTCGTAAATCTGTCAAATGATTTGTTCTATAAAGTCCGTTGCTGTTTTCAACACGTAAACAAGGTTGATCTATAGGACCAGCAACAAGAACAGCACCTAAATGGTTGATGTAACTACTTGCTAATCTTAATGTCTCTATTTTCGATAATTTCTTATCCGCAGGTTCCGTCGGTATTAAAGTTCTCAAAGCACTGAAAGCCGTGTTCACACTGCAGAGTAAACATTGGATTTCTTGAATTTCGCGTTCGGATTCTTTACCTTCGTTGAGTATTCGCAAATTTTTTATTACTGAACCAAAGACTTTTATTTCTCCTGAACCAAAAGACGAAAATTTCATTCATACATTGCTCAAAGTAATTAAGAACTTCTATTTTATAATTACAATTAGACACATATATAATAGTTTGTTTTATTATTTTAATGTTACTAAGTTATTAAACATAAGTAATAAATATTTTACTAATTACTTTGAACAATACAATGTCACACTTTTTGTAATTCAATTTTTAAATTTATATTTATGTATTTTACAGAGTATGTTAATAAATATAAATATAAATAATTTAAACAGCTCTTTAATTGCTTTATTATTATTATATTTTAAATTTTCAGCGTTTTATAAAAAAAAAATTATTTTCACCTATATGTTCGATCCCTTTCACGTGCGTTCGCTTGATAACGTTGTTTTGATTCCTCTTTCTTTTCTGCAGCCATGCTGCACCACACTATCAGTTAATTGTTAAATAACTAATTCAGAAGGTATCCGACCACACTAGTAGCTTGTTCATGAATGACTAAGCCGCCGTGTCTTCCTTCGTTTTCTCCAGAAATTCCTTTTCCCCGATGTATGTTGCCATAAATCCCCACCCTACCTCTTCTCTTTACCAGCTACACATGTGAAATACACATGCATCCGATTAGGGGCGAACGAACCACTTGCATGATGTTTCACTAGTAAAAACAGAATGCGTCAATTTCGAATATACATAATAAAATAAGTATATATTAATAATGAAATTTTATTAAATTCTTTTTTGAAATGAAAATATGTGGAATTCAATTTTTTTACAGGCCATGATCTTCCTGTCCACTTGCACAGGAATTAAAAAAACAAATTATTAATTAAAACATTATAAAATTAAAATTGATCTATTAAAAATATAAAAATTTGAAAACTAATTTTATCAATATAAACATATTTTAAAAACGTCCTATCTTAGAAAACTATCAAACAGTAATCTTTCTTATATTTAAAATTGTAAATGAAAGTATCTTGATAATAATTTCTCCAAATATTCACTAGATAGTTTGTCCTTTTATAACATAGGAAATAATTTCTTAGTAGTTAACGTAACACATTTCCCTTTACAAACGCGATATAGAAGCATTCATAAGTGTTCACTCTCGTGTAACGTGGTCGGAAGCTGTATTTCACATTACGGCCAATAAAAACCAAGCGACAACTGGTAGAAAGAACGAGGAAAACAAATACCATGTGTGAAATTAATTAGGCTAAGTCTTATGTTAGTTTCTGACTGTCATTTTTTATAAATTCGAAATTGAATATTACAGCGTTAGATACCGTAACATGAAAAGATATATTTTATAAGACAGGCATTCTTTTCTTGTCTGAAAAATTCAATGATGGACAAACTGGTAATAAGAAATAATATACTGATTCGATCTTCCGATTACATAAAAATTTTCATTTGACGAAAAAAAGAAAGAAAGAAAGAAAGAAAGAAAAAAGAAAAAATTGTATAATGATAAAAGAAAAATTTATTACACTTTCGAAAAAGTGCAATAAGATGCAAATAAACATAATACATTGATCATTTGACATCTGAATCATACTTTTCCATTCTAAAAATCATGTTAAATATTTGTTTGTGAATAGATTAAAGATACGATGTAGATATTCCTATGAAATATTTTACTTAATTAAATAAGATTACATTGAATTAATTATATAGCAGAAAATTTACATGTTTGAATGGTCATCAGAATAAAGTTTTTTATGCATTTTTTTATGCATTTACTCTTCTCTTATTTATCGAAAAAACGTGTCAATTTGCAGTACCTGCACCATACAGGCTATTTCTGTGAGCACTGCGGAGCGCGCGATCATGGAAGATTATGCATTCACTTACATCATTTTTCTATAAATTTTTTTTTTTTTTTACTTTGATCACTTTGTTACAAAGTTTACTTTTTTGTCATTTTTTTTGTTTTATTTTTTAATTACTTATCAGCCGCTCAATCGAATTAGTATCAAACGCTTGTGGTCTTCGGAGTACAATATTAAAAGGATATATATAGAAAATATACAAATTGTCTGACACAAAAATTACAATAATTATTTAAAACTTAAGTTACATCTTATGATACGCTAAAACATGGAAAGTCTGTGAAGAAATCGTTCATGAATTATTTCATGAAGTACAGACAGTTCAAAAAGCTATTCTAAAGATTACTAAAAATTATTATTCATTTTAAATTCGTGTTCATCGATATATAATTAAATGTTATAAAACAAATATAGAACGATCTACTTTCCTCCATATAAGCATGAAAGAGCTAAAAAACGAAAAACAAAAAGAAGAAACACGGTGAACCACTTCTCTTCTGAACACTTTGGCATTATCACCACTGTGAAAAATGAAATCAAACAAAAAACGAATTTCGTTTGAGCATATGGTAATATCGTGAAGTCTATATATATATATATATATATATATATATATATATATATATA